CTGCCTCGTCCTTTCTCCCTCGTCCTTTTCTCCCTCGTCCTTTTCTGCCACGTGCTTTCCCTTTCCCACTCCGTCGTTCAAACCCGCGCGGGCTCACCCACCTTCCAGAACCGAAGCGGCGGCCTCTGTGCGGCAGAGCCTGCAGCGGGCGTTGCAGGTGTGTCCTGCGGGAGCGGCCAGCAGCGGCCTCCCCCGGCCAACACGTTCCCCAGGGGTTGGCCGCCGCCGCCACCGCTACCGCAAATTACACGCCGGCCCGATTAATTAATTCGAATTTTTGCGAGGGGAGCTTCGGGTGCGGGCGCCCGGCAAACGCCGGAGCAGGTGGCGGTGGCAGCGGCAGGCCCGGGGGCGGTGGCTGTGGCGGGAGTTGGGACCACCGCGGGTGCGGAGGTGGTGGCAGGTGCAGGGGTGCGAATGGGATGCGAAAGCGAGGGGAGATTAGCAGACGCGAAAACAGAGTGGGTGCGGATCAAGGTATGGGAGCAGAGTTGGAATCAATGGTCGAAGCAGGAAGCATGGAAGCGAGCTGGTCTGAGAGCGGGAGCTGGGTCAGGGAATAATTAATGATTCCAGGTGCGTCAACTGCAATGATTATTACTCCCGGTAGAGTGGTGAATGTTTTATCTCGGTATATGGGGGCGATTCCTGTTCCGCTGGATGATTAGATCTGGTGCTGACCAACACGTTGCCTTGGTGGAATTTCCTTTCTCAAGTATGTCTTCCCAGCACGGCACTACCCAGCCGGCCTGGCAGTTTAGTGCTTGTTGAGTGTGTCTGTGTAAAGGGAGAGAAGAGGACGAGGATGGGAAGGAACTTAGTGGGAGTTCTTGGTCCTTTTATTAGTATAAAGCTTCGGCTTTCCCCTGATATTGATCGGAGAAACTATGGAAAACTACCGATCAGAGAAGCTGGTCTCTGTACGTGATTCTATCTACCAAGATACAGTTAATAATCCCCCACTATTCGGACTGAAACTCTCGGACCTCCCGATCAGCGACGCTACAAAGACAGCGGCAACACTGCGCACTTAGTAAAACTATGCCAGTATGACGTCGGGAAGGGGGGTACTAGGGCAGAGTGGGAATGGGAAGACAAACAAGTGCGAACCTGGGCCCGCGCAGGGCGATCGGGAGTGGAAATGGGAATAAAAGTGGGAGAGGGTGCAGGAGCGGCAGGTGGAAGTGGTAGTGGAAGGTATATTGGGAGTGGGGGGAAGAGCGTAAGGCGAGAACGGGGTGTGGTGCGAGCGGGAGCGATCTTACAGAAGAGGGCGACGATGGCTGACAATATGGATTTGTTGGGGTGGTGCTGGAAGAGTTGGTGTGATCAGTGATTGGGTGGATTATGTGCGACGGAGTGAGAAAGCTGTTGAAGAGTGCTGGAAAGGTTTACAGCGCATGCATCGATCGTTTATCAGCTGCGAAATGTAGTGATCCTTGGAGGAATGGACAACTCATAAAGTGCATTAAGACCTACATAGCTCCCTGATACAAATGTACTTCGTGAAGCAAGTGGGGGAAGGAACACGCTGAATTACCTATTCAAGTGACTTTTTTATTCAAGATCGAAAGATTGTCTTCATTTTACAAAACAATTGAACCTGTAATGAGTACAGTGTCGAATCAATTTTGATACTTACACGTCATCATTATCTACCACTTGTAAAGTTAAGCGTAAAACATTTAATTTTACTGTAATATTTCTGTGTTCTCTATTGAATAAGAACACATATATCAATTGCAATATAAGAATATAAATCTATTCCAACACTAAATTTTTATTGAGCCTAAATATCTCAAAAATATGAGCCAGTTTACACATTTACTTAACTGAACTATCTAAAAGAAAAACATGTGCGTATTAAGTACTTCAACAGTAGAAATGTTGCTCCTTTGTGCGGTTGCACAAGCACTGACACGCTGGCAGATTACTAATCTCCTACTTACGTGCGTGGCAAAGCAACTCGTCGAAATATCAGTGCGCAAATGTCAAGGGGAAGATTTGGCTGTGAGGCGGTTGGGGACGGCGTAAGTGCGGCGCGGAGAGGTTTACGACAAAAGACGACAGCCTTCATGGATGGTGAGTCGAGTTACTACAAAAGTGGAGCGGTCGCCGAGTTGCCTTGGTCTCGTGATTCTCGGATGTCCGAGATGATAACGAGGAAATCCGAACGAGAACGGAAAGTTACAAACCGCCCGTAGAGTGGTGGCTAGGAACTAACATCGATTCTAGGAATATAACGAGGGAGGCTCCACAGGGAGAGTTCAAATCTGCGCTCGCGACCGGAACTGTTCGCTTCAATGTCCCCTACGTCCATCCCGGACAGTCTCTGCTCTCATCACGAAGGATATAACCTCATCCCCACACCTGTAACTTCCACTTCCAAAGCGTCTAACGAACGTTAGAACTGGCACTGCTGATATTCCATTTTCACTGTTCAGAACGTTACTACCACAATGTGTACTAATCCAAATGTAATCGCTCAAAAATTGCTGTGGAACTTGCTTAATCATGGGGTTACGTGTTATAATTACAAACTCAAATGCCGTGTCTTATAAAACTTTCTCCCAATTTCGCTTTTTTTACTAACCTCTCCTTCCTTTTAATGAGTGAATTTAATTCGTCCAATTGCCACTAGCCATTCATTGCATCATTAAAAACCTATAAGTAATACCCTGCTATCATCACACTTGTAGCGCCATTAGGATTAAACTATTATTCACAGATAGAGTTAGAAAAATAGAAATCCACACATACCAATCAATATAAAAACAATATTAAACGTTATGACTTTTAATGTATCATAAATATGTAAAACATGTTGGTAAAAACATGTCTGGTATGATATCTGTAGTTATTTGAGTAACATATTCTATCTCATTTGGACTAGAGCATATTTCTTTCTTTTATTGAGAACACGCGCTCATTAAAAACTAGTTGTTCTAAAACAGCCCGTACTTTCTCCCCTGTATTTTCACACAAAATTACGCGAAAATAATTGGAATTTTTGAAAAATTGAAAAGTCCTTATTTTAAAACCTGTGTTTAAGGAACAGATTTCATCAAGGATAAAAATATCTCTCTTTAAGCTAGCCTTGTTCACAGACGTCAGACACGGATAGACTTTTGTAGCCATTCATTTTTTGGCATCACGAACACATAAAACTAGGATCCACAAAACTTGGATGATGGCTACACCATGTGATAGATTTGTTAAACAAATTTAGTAACTGGATTTATCCACTTTTTAGTTTCCTTGCCATATAATACGAGTTTTCTGACGAAAGTTTGCCTTTTTTCGCGCAGAAGTACTATATTTTCTCTCTACTCCGTAGGGACTCACCATCTCTACATTTCCTTACATTACTCTGTCATTTTCTTGTGATATTTCCATCATATCTATCGAGATAACATTTTACACCTTTTATGTATTACGTCTACTCCAGGCGAATCACGTCACAATTATCATCAATACATCTTAATTTTCTGTCACTACTGCTGGAGTATATTTAAAATACGATGCTCAGAGAGAGCGCGATTAAAACAAAAACAACAGTACTATGAATTGTACGGATAAAAAATTGAGAAAGAGATATAGAAAGATGCGAGACAATTATCAGGTGGCGCGAGTACGAAGAATTTGTGTCACAGATACGGCGGCGCGGTCGAGAAAAGATAAAGACGAAATTCCAAAAAGTAATCATTTGACCGGCATTTAAAAATTGATAGCCCCAGCGAGAAAAGAAATGCGAGCAAGCTATTGATTTCGTGTTCTTGAAGATTGTTAAAAAGTAGGGCTTCCTATTTTCAATTCAGTTTAATTCCATCGATAATACGACTTCATCGCTGAAGACTTTCTGGGAAGCTGTTCCGGAGATTTCGAAAGAACGGAAGTTCTTCAAAAGTAGACACACATTGAGAAAATCGGATTGGGAACCTCGATGTTAATTGTCAGATGGAACCAAGCCTTTCACCTATTTCGGGGCCACTAATCGCGGAAGAGCTGGAGAAACTGGCGCCCCAAGGCGCCGACCTCCTTCACACACAAATTGGGCATCGGCGAGGCAGAGTTCCTCTAACAAGAAGCAGGGGGAGCTTTTGTGTAAGTAGCAATTGTTCGCCGGTCTTGCCTTCTCCTTGGTCGCTCCCGATGCTGCCGCCGCTGTCGCAGGCTCCGTGGGCGCCACTGCCATTACCACTGAATCTCCACCCGCCACTACCCTCGACGTTGCCGCAGCCTGATTTCCCAGCGTTGCTCCCTTTCAGACCTCTGCTCCCGCTGCCTTTGCCTCCACCGCCGCTATACAAAGTGACCCCTGCCGCCACTATCATAGCCGCAAGCACCACAACCTCCATCACTACTTGCGGATCTAAGTTGGCAAATATGACTTCAATTATTTCATCCTTTAATAATATCAACAAAACCTCATTAGCATTCCCATAAATCACTTGCGTATCATCACTAACACCAATATTTCCACCAGCACCATTTCAAAATCCAAACCAAGTATCCTTAACAACGCCGTAACAGCTCCCGCGAACATCTCTACCACTACCGTCACACTAATGCCTATTTTTAGTACTATTATCCTGACGGCAACCACCATCACTATCATCGGCGCGAGCACGATAACTATCATCACACCACCACCAATATTCCCAAGAACCCTCCCTCCTCCTACCACCTCCACCATGAGTACACCCCCATGAAGAAGTGGTTATATGTTGTTTTGGAGTGGTTATAACTTAGATTAGAAGTAGTTACGAATATACGACAATTGGATGTGGTTATAAGATTATTAAAAGAGGTTAAAAGTTGATTAGAAGTGATTATCAGTTGATTAAATGAGGTTAGTGCAACTTTATCACACTGTCCCCGGATGCGTTTTGGCCACCTCCTCCACCCTCTCCCCCGCGCGCACCAGAGACGCTTCCCCTCCCAACGCCCTCACCACCACCTTCTCCGCCGCTACCGCCGCGCCCTCAAGCGGAGTACCCTCCCTCCGAGGCCCAGGGATTTGGGTGCTTGGGGCAGGACACATCGGACTCACAAATGAGCGCATAGGTTTCCTATAGCGAGGCCTCGGCTGCCGCCGCTCCCGTCGCCTTTCCACGATGAACCAAACACGAAGCTCAGCGGCCGCAAAAGGTAATTACCCGATCCAAGATGGAACACGTCTACGGGAATGGAAGATTTTTCGAGATTACACTCGCCACAAAAAATGAGTAATTGACTAACTAACATTGGTATTCGCATTTTGAGCCTTATTACTATTTCTTGAAGCAAATAAATTTTCAGTGAACATCTTTTACCAGATAGATAAAAATTAATTTTCTCTTCAACAAGGGATGAAAAAAGTGTGTTATTGCTTATTCACATTCGTAAAGGAAAGTAAAAATAACAGAGCGATATGAATTTAACGAGTTATATCTTTTATATTAGAGCCAGTAGGTCGAAACATTGAATTTATAAAGGTGAAGCGTCCCTTATAACACTGTCATTCTGAGTGACTTATGATTAAAAGTATCGTTCTCTATTTTTTTAATTTTCCCCCAAAAAGTTAAGCATGATTTGTTTATGTGTGTATGTTTCTAATAAATAATTGTTTATAGATATGCGTTTATAAGATTAAAAAGAAAATGACCAATCACATGATAAATCAAAATACAAAATTTCAAAAGTTGCAATTTTTGAGTTCGAGGATGTCAAAGAAAATAATTTAATGTTTTATTCCTTTCTCTTCCTAAACTCTTCAATTTTTACTTCCCATGTACTCTGTTCTCTGTATACTTTTGTACATTCTATTTTATTCACGGTTAATGTATCAAAGTTTTAATTTATTTTTAGTGGACCTCAGAGAACCTAACTCCAACTCGAGGTAAGGTGATGCACTGATCCCTCATTTCAAAATGAGTATAGATCTTTCTCGTGGACGAAAGTGAAAAGCATGACCGTTCCTAAACATAAGTGAAATATCTTCACAAAAGGACAGTTTTGGTGTTTTAGGAGCGTTACAGCAACGTTATTACAAATGATTCAATATTTGTCTGCGCTATTACACCTCAGTTAATTTCTATTTCCAAACTCTTTTCTAAGAGTCTGCGAAGTATACGAATACTTCAAGGATAAACAGATTACGAGCTATGCGTAATCGAAATGTGACGTATGAACTCAAATTAATCCCAAGAAATGTCTTCCTACGTAGCTAGAAGGATGAGATGAAGGAACAACGGCACTTAGTTTCAAGGTGTTTTGTCAACGAGTTTTCCCTTTGTGTATGTTTGACTGTGAGAGTATGTGTGTGGGCATGTAGAGGTGTGCGTGTGTGTATTTGTGTGTCTGTACTCTGGGACTTTATAAACCTATTTTAATAAACGAAGTGTGAAATCCAGTGCAGCATTTAACTTAGTTGAGCAATTGTGTTAGCGCGTGAACCATCCATGCGATCTACAAGGGGAGCGGAGATCGCAAAATAATTTTACAAAACAGATGAGTAATGTATTTTCTCAAACATATTCCAATTCACAATCTGAAACTTCATAACTCCATCATTTTTAAATATTTCGGTTCATCTAAATGCAACGATTCCCTTGGAAATACGCATAGCAATCGTATGAAGTCCACGAACATTATTACAATATAAAGATGAGAGAAAATATTCTTCGTAGTTTCAGAATAAAAATAAGTGAATGGGGGACCGTAATGTTGTGTTGTACATTTTTTAGGCAAAAATGTCAATATTATCAAGGGCGAAGGTTAAACTAGCAGAAGATTTTAAAAAAATATTATAATCTCACAAATTAGTATAAGTGCATTATTCCGTTTCTAAACAGGGAGGCAAGTATAAATAAATGACTCTACTTTTCCGAATTTATTCCACTAGGAAATATTTAACAGTTATTAACGAAATTTATAGAAAATAACAATTAAATTCACTACTTTATTATTCCGCATTTATCGACTGAGGTCTTTTTTCCATGGATTTTCTAGCACTTACGTATTGTGAAGGAGACAGATAAAATATTCAAAATAGTTCGTCTGTTATATAGCACTTGTATCTCCATGATTTTACCATGAAGAAACAACAACATTAACAATTTTTTATAATAAAATTACAATTATTTTTTAGGAATATAAAAATATTAATATAAAATACTACGTAAAGTTATATCTGCACCAAATATTCCCCTGATTTCTCATCACTCTTGTTAAAACATCATGTCTTGTCTAGATCAATATATATTCCCTGACTTTTACAGGTTTATCCAGCATTCTAAAACGCGGAAATTCTCCTCAAACTTAGAGAAGGTTCCCTCTCGAGGAGAACAATATTCGTCCTTCCGCAACTGCACTTGTACCCACTGTGCGCCTTCCTGGGAGGAGCCGCCGCGGTCCGCGGGGCGCCAGGAGGCTTAGGGCGTCCAATAGAGAAGTCTCCGAAGAAGGCCGGGTTTTGACGGAGGACTTTCGCTGTGGGCGAGGAGAGTGCCGGCCAGCGAAGCGGGGGCTGGCGCAGGGGAACTAGAAAAGTGGAGGGGGATTAGGAAAGAAAGAGTATGCATTTCTAAAAGGGCAAAGGACGAAGTAGATGGACGTGCAGCAAGAGCGGCGGAGAACGGAGATGGGAAAGGAGCATTGGTATGGTATACAAATATGATTCAGGATCCTCTTTCATTATTAAAATTATACTGCTAAACAAACACTAAAATACAATTATTTAAAAATAATCCAACAAAGTACACTGTTTCTGGGAGATAATCCACATTAAATCATCTCCCCGCCTGCGTAAGCCATACCCTCAATTATTTATGTAATCATATGCCATACTCTTTAAAATCATTACGGCTGAAAAACGTAAATGCAGATTTTTAACAAAGTAAATGATGTTGAGAAGTGGAGACACAGGAAAATAGAGAAGTAGAGAAGATATAAATGATAGTAAAGGAACTAGGTGCGAAACATGTAACTGAAATATGTAAGCACGCCTTTTAAAGCGGAACGAGCTGGCAAAATACAAAGTCACAAGAGGTGAATGGAAGGTGCGTCACTTGGCAAAAACCTAGGAGCCCCAAGTAGCTGAGGGAAGAAGCTCGAAGCAAAACAACAACAACTTTTGGAGAGAACTTGGCCGAAGAGAGAAGAGGGCAGCCACGCAGACAAGGAAGCGAGAAAGACAGCGAGGGAAAGGGTAAATTTACGAGATGAGTGGCGGGAATGGTACCGGAAAGGGGAAAGATGGAGAGGCTAAACGAGATAGATCACGCGAAAGCAAAGGAAAGACCGAGGGGCAGGTGGAGGAGGAGTCGTGCGGAACAAGGAGGCGATGGAAGGGACGTTACAGGACGGGCAAGGCGTGTCGTACAGAGGCGGGTCGAGACGTGGCGAGGTGAGGCCATGCGTAGTGAGATGTGGTGTGGTGAGGCGTAGTGCGGCAGGACGAGGTTTGGTGAGACGGGGGAAGCGAAGCGTAGCGTGTGTGTGTGTGTGTGTGGCGGTTGTATGGGGAGGTGCGGTGAGGAGTGGCGAGGAGTGGCGAGGAGTGGCGAGGAGTGGCGAGGAGTGGCGAGACGTGGCGAGACGTGGCGAGACGTGGCGAGACTTGGCGAGACTTGGCGAGACTTGGCGAGACGTGGCGAGACGTGGCGAGACGAGGTGAGACGTGGCGAGACGTCGCGAGGTGTAATGAGACGCGGTCAGTGGAGTTGTTGGCGACGCGTAACGTGTCGAGGCGAGAAGTGTGATGTAACGTCACCTGACGTGGAGTGGTGTGGCGTGGTGTGGTTAGGCGTAGCTCGGCATGACGAGATGTGACGATACTGAGAGCGGTGTGAAAGGGCGTGGATAGGCGGGGGAGGCAAAACATGGGAAGATGAGTCGAGGCGAGACGTGGAGAGTCAGGGAGAGCCAAAGTGTGGCGTGGCCAAGAAAGGTAAGGCGTGGCGAGTGTGGAGGAGGGGAAGATTGGTGGGACCTGGCATGGCTGAACAAGGCGTGACACAGGCTGAGGTGGCTTAGGGCATTAGTTGATGTCACTGAAGTGTTTCTGCCGTGGAGATCCTAGGGTTTTAGTCCCGATGGTCGCAGGTTTTGCTATCCTCATTAGATAGCCAAGTTGAATTCGCTCTATGAAGGAGAATTCTAGCGGCCGGAAGCTCTGATCTGTAGTTTTCCGTGGTTTGTTTCATCAACACCAGTCGAATGCCATAGCAGTACCCTAACAAATGGCCTATATACGCGCGCCATCTTTCCTTTCTTTTCTTATAACCACCCTTCTTATACACTTACACGTATATGCGCAAACCTACCACACTTATCGGGAGACCAGGCGGGAGCATATCCTTGCTGGGTGTCCCCGCTGGTGAGAAATGCCTGTTTGGGGAAAAATTGTGAGCCCGCGTGTCGC